TTTCACCTTCCCAATCATGAATACAGCTGCTCACATTTGCGCTCTAGGTAGAGCTGAAGTCTCATCCCTTAATATAGAAACATACATGAAGACATCATCTTGAAGCATCCTTCTTTATCTTCTCCAAAATGTAGCTGCTAACTTTTGAGCGCAGTGCCTTCATTTAGCAACTATGTCGGCATGAATATCCTGGGAGGGTGGTCTGAACCCTTTTTCTGTAGACACTTCATAGCAGCAGATTTATCCACTTTCAAGAGAAGTCGCTACTATGTACATTTGAAATCAACTTTCAACAGCCAGATGCCCGTTTACCTGGCAATAATCAGTACAGTTATTAATAAGAATACTTTAAATGAATGTATGCGAGATTTTACATCTTCAACATCTTTCCTTCCGAAACAACCTAAACCCGCCCACGCATATAAACAATAAATAGCTTGACTGGAAATTATTTAATTAACAAAGCTGATAGAATTGTAAGCTAAAGTTTCTAAGTTCGATATTCAGATCGGATATACTATCCGTTATATTTGTCCTGGGTAGGACGATAAACGACATCAGCATCCAGGGTATGACGACAAACTACATCCGTGTCCTGGGTATGACGATAAACTACATCCGCGTCCTGGTTTATGATGATAAACGACAGCCGCGTGCGGAGTATGACGATAAATTACATCCGCGTACTGGGTATGACGACAAACTACATCCATATCCTGGGTATGACGATAAATTACATCCGCGTCCTGGGTATGACGACAAACTACATCCGCGTCCTGGGTTATACGACAAACTACATGCGTGTCCGGGGTATGATGACAAACTACATCCACGACCGGGGTATGACGATAAACTACATCCGCGTCCTGGGTATGACGACAAACTGCATCCGTGTCCTGGGTATGACAATAAACTACATCCGCGTCCTGGGTATGACAACAAACTACATCCGCGTCCTGGGTATAACGACAAACTACACCCGTGTCCTGGGTATGACGATAAACTACATCCGCGTTCTGGTTTATGATGATAAACGACAGCCGCGTGCGGAATATGACGATAAATTACACCCGCGTTTTGGGTAAGACGATAAATTACACCCGCGTTCTGGGTATGACGATAAATTACATCCGCGTCCTGGGTATAACGACAAACTACATCCGCGTCCTGGGTATGACGACAAACTACATCCGCGTCATGGGTATGACGACAAACTATATCCGTGTCCTGGGTATGATGACAAACTACATCCGCCTCCTGAGTATGACGTAAACGACATCCCCGTCCTGGATATGACGATAAACTATATCCGCGTCTTGGGTATGACGATAAACTACATACGCGTCCTGGTTATGAAAATAGACTACATTCGTGTCCTGGGTTGACGATAAACTACATCCGCGTCCAGGGTCAGACGATGAACTCTGTCCAAAAGCTACGCCTCTGAACAAGGGGTTTTGAGGAGCGTGGAACCAGCTCTTAATTACTGGTGTTCCCACGTCCACCCTGACTCGGGGTGGTAGCACCTGTTAGGGTCTCAGCTATGGCTAAAAAGTTATCCCCGAAACTGAGGTAAAAAGCATTATGAAAGTGTAAAAATAGGTTTTAATACTAGAAATAGTTTGTAAAATATTATTACCAGAAATAAATACAAAAACGTATACATAATTTTCATTTAATACTTTGTAGAATAGCCTTTATTCGTTTCTGCAGCAAACAATATTTCTTGTAGTTTTCCGTTAATTATTTGCATATTTTCATTGGTATTTTGTTACGTTTTTCTTCACATACTGTTTTCAGATCCGGGATGTTTGTTGGCACTCTCGAATTGAGTTGAATTTTCAAATAACGCCATAGATTCTCGATTAGGTTTAAATCTGGGAATAGACTTGGCCATTTCAAGATATTTACATCTTTTTCAGTAAGCCGTTTCTACGCAAATTGTTCAGTGTGCTTGGGATCCTTATCTTGTGGGAAGATTCAATCAGGAGAAAGTTGAAGATTTTCAACCGAAATCATTAAATTTGCTTCTAAAAAAAATTGATATGCAGCGACATTCATTCTATTACTGGTAGGTTGCCAATATCTTTTACAGAAAATCATCCTCAAACCATGATACGGCCACCACCAAATTTCATAGTTGGAACTGTTCTTTTGTTTGAAGGAATCGCCATCTTTCCTCCATACATGATATCTAGAATTGCATTCAAAGAATTCAATTTTGGTTTCGTCCCTCCACAATTCTCATTCTCAAAACAATTTTTCCTTATCCTTATGCTCACGAACGAGTTTCAGTCTGGCATCTCTATGTCTTTTCAATAACAGTGGAATTTCCCAAGGGGAGGGCGACTTTAGCTTGTTCCTATGAATTACATTGCGTATTGTCCATTTAGTAACTCTAATTTCTGAAGAAAGCAAACCATCCTGCAACTCTTGACGAGTAACCATTGGATATTGTTTAATTTGACGCACTCATTTCTTCGAAGGTCTTGAATAAATTGTCCGTTGAACATCTGCCTTTCTTTTGTTTTCAACAGTTTTGCGTTTTTTATACATTGCAAGGAATGAACAAATGGTAGTAAAAGAAATATTCAAGTTGTCTGAGTTTTTCTGTAACTTTTACCTTGTTTCCAGAGCTTAAAAATCAACTCTTCTTGCGAATTTGTCAAATATTTACCTCTTTCCATGACGCTAACCTTATTGCACGAATATCAATTACAGAATCCCCTTTTTTAGGCTAAAAAAACTACTTATGTCACTATTGGAACATTCTAGAATATTCCACTTGAAAAATCTAGAATGAAAATTTCTCGGACATTCAGGCCAGGTTATTTAATACTGTTTATTATAAACAGAGCATTTACTTAAATACTTGTATCTATAAAAAAGAACGTTAAACATAAAAATGTCTTTAATATATATATATATATATATATATATATATATATATATATAGATAGATAGATAGATAGAGAGAGAGAGAGAATTTATGATTTTCAGAAAAGCAAATATTTTCATATACAATATGAAAAAAATATTAAAATAATATTAAAAACAGAGTGTTAATAATATTATATGAAAAGATTACTTAACTTTTAAATATCAATTTCATCGCGATATCTATTTTCCTTGGTAAAATTTGCAGTCTTCAGGAGTTGTGGTATTAAACGTTATTTGCAATTTTATTCAATTTCAATTTTTCATTTTTTTTTTCAATTAAAAAATACAATGGAAATACCGCTCAAAACCACAACGTTGAAGGCTGGGAATTTTACGAAGAAACATCGATATCGAGACAAAATTGATATTTCAAATTTAATTAATATTAAAGCGGGTTTTTGTAGGTTCTTGGAAATTTTTTATTGTGGCTTTTTCCTTTTTTTCAAATAAATTATAACTTGACGCAAGAACTGAAAAAGAAAAAAAAAAGGAGAGTTACAATTCGAAAGGATAAAAAGTAGAAGCCTCAAATACAACGGTGTAAAAAGCAAGATAATGAATATTAGTAAAGATGAAAATGAAAGTACATTACATTTGAAAGGGGTTTTAAACTGGAGAGACAGAAACTGATAGATAGATAGTGAAGATAGAAATAAAATCACACTTAAGGTTTTCAGCAAGGAGAATAGAATTTTAAATTATTCTGTTTGTTTGAACTTCCACATTTATTTATTTTTTTTTCTTTTTCTCATAAGTATTTTTTCAGTTTTTATATTTGTATAACGATACTTTAATTTCTAATCGCATTTGTTTTCACTTTCACTTTCACTTTCAGCCATGTTTTTTACCCTCTCTCAATACATACATTTTTGTAGTTCGTTTTCCATCATCACCCGCTCTACATTCCGACAATCCCACGCAATGGAGTTCAAGTCTTTATACCTTAATTTCACGGTTCGAAAATTTGTAAATATTAACTTTAGAGTCGTGTGACGCGTCCCTTTCTGGCAAAGAGAAACATAAAGTGCCCTATTTTCATCCATAACTATGATGGGAATTCTCTTGATGTGTTATATCCATTTCCTATATTATAAATGGCACAATCTGTGTTTTGTATCCGTGTGCGTCTTATTCTGTGCTCGTATTAGTGTGTTTTATCAAATGTAAACAAAATTCGTTTCCCGTGTTGTCGGATGTATGTTTTACCTTGTAGGTTTTATGAGAGTTTTATTTTGTGTATATCTTTATTTTCTGTAATTGGGTATTTCTAATGCAGTACGTCAGAAAATGTAGCAATGTGTGCTTCTCAGACTATGAATATCTGTGTGCCATATACTTAAAGATGCCTGTGTTTTGCTGTGCGCATATAACTGACCATTGTAAGATGAGTTCTTATCTGGTTTTTTTTCGGTCTCCTAATAAATCAATGGAAGATGAAAGAAAATAAATGTCGTTCTACAGAAGGTTGCTGAGGATACTATAGACTGAACATATAAGGAATGACGAAGATTTAGAGCAAATGGAAACAAAAAAACGCATACTTTACACAAGAAAGAGACGTAGAATTGTTGATGTTGATAAATCCATGGCTATGATATAATGGATAATTTGCGGTGAAAAAAGCAATTTTTGATTTTTTTGTTAAACACGCCGCTCCTCCACCGAGGGCCTCATATGTAGAATAAAGAACCACCCACAGACGACAAACACAATCGGAAAAAGGCGTTTGTGATTTAGCAGCTACTGCTGGAGAAGTTAACAAGAAGTTGCGCATCAGCCTATACTGCGAGATCTAGGCTTCGTTAAAGGATCAAGAACAAAAATTCCCCGAGTCCTCAACGACCGTTGGTTGCGCTGTGAGCATCGATTCGTGTCTCTGTCCTCCGACGGAGCCGCAACTGAGTCGCACTCTGCCCGAAGACAGAGAGGCAACAGAGTGATGTTAATACCCTACCCGGTATATACCAGTTAAGTATTAGTATTAGAATTAATATGCAGAACTATTTGAATATATCAGTTAGTTATTGTTTTTCTTATATATATTACAACGAAAGAGAGAGCTAACAAAGAGAATGCAGAAAGAAAGAAAGAAAGAAAGAAAGAAAGAAAGAAAGAAAGAAAGAAAAGTGGATAGCTATTAGCAAAGAAAAAAGAAGTGATGCCATGAAGAAATTAAAGAAAGGAACGGGAAATTCTGATATAAGAAAGATTGAGGGAGTGGGTAGATATTAAGAAAGAAAAGAAGGAAAGAAAGAAAGAAAGAAAGAGAAAGAAAGAAAGAAAAGTGTGGATAGCTATTAGCAAAGAAAAAGAAGTGATGCCATGAAGAAATTAAAGAAAGGAACGGGGAATTCTGATATAAGAAAGATTGAGGGAGGGTAGATATTAAGAAAGAAAAAAAAAATAAAGAAAGAAAGAAAGAAAAAAGAAAGAAAGAAAGAAAGAAAGAAAAGTGTGGATAGCTATTAGCAAAAAAAAAGAAGTGATGCCATGAAGAAATTAAAGAAAGGGACGGGGAATTCTGAAGTAAGAAAGATTGAGGGAGTGGGTAGATATTAAGAAAGAAAGAAAGAAAGAAAGAAAGAAAGAAAGAAAGAAAGAAAGAAAAGTGTGGATAGCTATTAGCAAAGAAAAAAGAAGTGATGCCATGAAGAAATTAAAGAAAGGAACGGGAAATTCTGATATAAGAAAGATTGAGGGAGTGGGTAGATATTAAGAAAGAAAGAAAGAAATAAAGAAAGAAAGAAAGAAAGAAAGAAAGAAAGAAAGAAAGAAAGAGAGAAAGAAAGAAAGAAAAGTGTGGATAGCTATTAGCAAAGAAAAAAGAAGTGATGCCATGAAGAAATTAAAGAAAGGAACGGGAAATTCTGAAGTAAGAAAGATTGAGGGAGTGGGTAGATATTAAGAAAGAAAGAAAGAAAGAAAGAAAGAAAGAAAGAAACAAACAAAGAAAGAAAAATGTGGATAGCTATTAGCAAAGAAAAAAGGATTGATGTCGTGAAGAAATTAAAGAAAGGAACGGGAAATTCTGAAGTAAGAAAGACTGAGGGAGTGGGTAGATATTAAGAAAGAAAAAAAAAAGAAAGAAAGAAAGAAAGAAAGAAAGAAAGAAAGAAAGAAAAGTGTGGCTAGCTATTAGCAAATTAAAAAGAAATGATGAATAATGAGAAACGAAGGAATAAACAAAGATTGAAAGAAGTACGAGAAAAAAAGGAATGATGATGAAAATAAAAAAAAAAAATTAAAATATCATGAGAAAAAAGAAAGGAAAAAAGAATGATAAAAAAGAAATATAGACAGAAAGAAAGAACTGAGAAAGAAAGAAAAGTGTTGAGGAAGAAAGAAAGAATGATGAGAAAAACACTATTTACGTTATTCGGACTATTGTCCTCATCTTTGTCAAAATATTTATTACAATGTTTCGGCCGTTGTATGCTCCAGCCTTCTTCAAATGGTTGGAATGTCGAACTGAACCCTTTATTTCGCTCAGTGGGGTAGACTGTTCTAGTTCCACGTGCCATGTTTTAATGGATGTCAGTTATCAGTTATCTCATGTTAATTCCACTGTCCAAGTTCTCTACTGCCTTAACCGGGTATTGAACTCAAACTCATTGGGTAGTATCACTGGATGTAACCAACGCCTTTATCCACGGTGCCATGTGTCCTTGAAGTAGCCCGGAGCGTACAACAGTCGAAACGTTGTAATAAATATGGCGACAAAGATGAGGACAATAATCCGAATAAAGTAAATAGTGTACATAATACCTCATTTCAGAAATATAGACAGATACTGATGAGAAAGACGTTTATGGAAACCTACCTAAGATTATGACACAACCTTTGAAAGGTGTGTGCAGTTGAGACGGTATTGATTGGGAACAAAAAAAAATGTGGATCAGCTTATACTATAGAGACTAATATTATGGTAAAGGATAAAAATTAGAGCATGGGGTCGAAATGATTGTCAAAATATCAAGCGTTAGACAAACAAGAGCCATCATCTATCGAAACATAGATCTGTCAGAAGGGATGTCCGATTCGAACAATGGATTTAGAAATAATTGATAGAAATGATTGGAAAGCGGTGATCCGAAGCTTTGGTTTGTTTGCTTTGTTGTGTTTTACGGTATATCAACCTCAATGGGTCATTTAATGCCGACGAGTTTTTTTGGGTTTTTTTCTGGTAATATTTTGTTTTGTCAAAAATCTATTTCTGGTAATATTTTTTTCCTCAAAAATATAAATCTGGTAATATTATTTTTTTAAAAATGTATTGCTGGTAATATTTTTTTGAACGCATTGCTGGTAATATTTTTTTCTTCAAAAATGTACTTCTGGTAATAATTTTTTTACAAAGATTTTTCTGGTATTAAAACCTATTTTTACACTTTCATAATGCTTTTTACCTCAGTTTCGGGGTTAACTATTTGCCGATAGCTGGGACCCTAACAGGTGCTACCACCCCGGATCATGTTGGACCTGGTAACACCAGCAATTAGGAGGTAGTTCCACGCTCCTCAAAGCCTTTGATCATAGGCGTTGCTGTTGGACGTAGTTTATTGTCTTACCCTGGACGCGGGGGTAGTTTATTGTCTTACCCTGGACGAGGATGTAGTTTATTGTCTTACCCTGGACGCGGATGTAGTTTATTGTCATACCCAAAACGGTGATCAGAAGGGTACGATTGCGGACACATACATATTTTTTTTTTTTTATTTGTACGGGACATTTTTAACCAGAATCGGAAAGATGAAGGTTGAAATTTTTGGTATACATAAATCGGAAAAAATGACTTGGGGAATTTTATGTTCACAAGACATATTGAGGACATAAGGGCCAGGCCGGGGGCAAATAAAGATTAACCTTTCTAATGATCTTCAATTTGTTTGCTGAACAAGTTCAGTAGGTATGGTGAAAAGACACACATTGCTTAGTGTAAGGATAGGATGTTGTGGAGATCTGTAATCGTCCACGTTCTGAATAGACATGGTAGAAGAATGCTTTCATCTACTACAAGCTGATGCGATACACCAGGTAGAGATTTACTCTACTGTGGTCTGGTTTATTTTGATTTGTTTTGTTTTACAGAATATCAACGTCAATGGATTATTTAATGCCGACGAGATTTTTTAGGATAGCTTCGTATGACTGGAATATGTATTCTTTGATTTGGTTTATTTTGATTTGCGGCATATCAACCTCAATGGGTTATTAATGCCGACAAGATTTTTATTGCTGATAATAACTTTCCCAAAAATCTATTGCTGCTTACATATATTTTTTTTTTTTACAAAAATGTATTGCTGGTAATATTTTGGATGAGTCTGCTATTCTGGAATAAATATCTCTGATAATTCTGCAATTCTGGAATAAACATTTCTGATAATTCTACAATTCTGGAATAAACATTTCTGATAATTCTGCGATTCTGGAATAAACATTTCTGATAATTCTTCAATTCTGGAATAAACATTTCTGATAACTGTGCAACTCTGGAATAAACAATTCTGATAATTCTGAAATCCTAAAATAAAGATTTCTGATAATTACGTACTTTATGTTTTCATGTTTTTGACTTTCTCTTTATCCTTTCCTTAAATACCCCCCTCTTTACTCTTGCTTTCACTCTCTCTAACCCTTTGCTTGCCAGTGGCACTTCTGCCTTGCTTGTTAAAAACAATTGTATCTTGATGCTAATGTAGATTAATTGACAGTGCATCTCTCTTAGTCTTTTCAAGGTGCAAATGATGTATTGTTTTTGTTTTGTTTTTGTTTTTTCGTTTTTTTTTTCATTTCGCTGTGTACCAATAAATAAATTTACGAAGCATTTTACTATCTGGCTGGATTCCCACTTTCGAATAAACTTGTAATCATTTTGTTTTATTCCTGGTAATAAGTTTTTCCTTCAAAAATTAATTCCCGGTAATAATTATTTTCAAAAAAAGTATTACTCGTATTTAAACCTATTTTTACTCTTTCATATTGTTTTGACCCCAGTTTTAGGTGAGGAGGTCAACTCTTTGCCCATAGCTTGGACCCTTAACATGTGCTACCACTCCAGGTCAGGTTGGACCTGAGAACATAAGCAATTAAGAGGTGGTTACATGCTCATCAAAACCTTCCAATCAAAGGCCTTGTTGCCGGATGTAGCTTATCGTTTTAACCAGGACGAATGTATTAAGTTGCTTTATAGACCTAAGAATAGCAGATAATGAGGATATGTAGGATAGATAACATTTGATGCTGGACTTGAAAAATATCGGGTTACCATCTCCGCGGGAGTCTGTTAAAGGAGACAGCGTATTTTGAGAAGAAGCTCTTCCAACTGATCTTCGTTTTTGTATGCGGAATACGAAGGAAATGAAAAAAAGATTAGCCTATTGTCCTTGGCAGAGCGCGTCTTAGATGTAAAGGTCTTAAATGTTTGAACTAGAGAAAATAGCTCGCCAGAAAAGGTACCATAGTAATAACGATAGATTAACTCTTGTGCAGATAGAGCATAAGAGAAACAGTAGGGTACTATCTGGACCGGTATAGCCAGCAGATCATTTTGTAGCATCTTTAGCGATGTGTCGCATATATGAATTCCACTTTCCTTTATGGATGGGGATATTATTTAGAATAGATGTCCATGTGATTAAATTTTCCATTTTGTGTTTTCTTTTGTTTTACAACTAGTTTTTCGGTTATTTTTTTGACATGGATAACATATTAGATTGTATCTGTTTTGCCGTTACGGAATGAATTGCCTGACAGTCATATGTACTACAAAAGGCACATCCTCTCGTCTTTATCTAATACTAGTCCGACTCCTCTTTCATGTTTCTCTTCCTGCATTCTACAAACTTCCCTATAAAATTCCCTTTAATTTTCCATCTTGTTTAACCAATATGCTAATATGCAATCTTTCTATTTCCTGTTCTATGTTTTCTGATTTTCGTTTTGGTAGAATGTCGTAACATTCCATTTCCCGATAATAATGTCACCTTTATTCATCTCGATAACCATCTGTACGTGTTGTCTGTTGCGTGGGATCCCAGCCGCTTCATACCGTTACATAATATTGGAATGTTTTGAAATGCTAGACTATTAATGTTGATCTATCGATCATAAAAGTTGTTTCAATTTCGTTGCTTTATTAGCCACAATATTTTGGGCCAAGAAAAGTAAATGTTATAAAACAGAACAGCAATCGACAAGGATACTTGAATAGAAATAGATTCAAACGACCAATAATTCTCTAGAACAGAGAATTAATAGAGACTTCTAGTCTATTACATGCATGGCAGAAGAAGAGCTTTATCGAAAGGATTTAGCGTCCTCTCAAAGTCAACATTGAGAATGTTGGTAATTTCATACTCTGCTCGGTTTCCTCACAGATGATTGAACAGCACACATTTAATTCGCGTTGTCTTGCGCTGGATCCCAAAAAGTTTTAGCGAGATACAATTTGCGGAATGGCGGAGAGTGAAAATTCAGATAAATAATTTCTTGATTATCGGTGTAACAGGATCGATAAAAAAAATAATGAAAGCTCAACTGGGGTTCTGTGAAAAAAACAAAAAAAAAAATCAACTCTTTGTAGACCCCTGGATCCTAAGTTTGGCTATGGCTCGAAATAGATAACATATTTCGTGACGATTAAGTAACTGAAAAATAAATATAATCTTACGTTAATTTCGATAATCTTTTCATACGTCTCCAAAATATAGCATTTGCTGTTTTTTTTCAGATATTAAACATTTTGTGAGATAGAAGATTACGCTGTAACACGATCTGGACAATTTTGTTGTTACAAAGGGGTATATATATATATATATATATATATATATATATATATATATGTATTAGAGTGTACATCATATATTCAATATCATAGAGAAACAATTTATCCAAAGAATTAAATAGCAATATTTTCCTACCAAATATGTTCTTCAAAACTGAAATGGGAGAAAGTAATATATAATTTTTCATATTACCAGAACAATGTTTTTGCATTTTCTTTATACACACACACACACACACACACACATATATATATATATATATATATATATATATATATATATATATATATGGATAGCGGCTTAGATTGAGGAATCGGAGAGCCGAGTTCGAATTCCAGTCGAATCCATTACATTCACTTACGTGCTAATAGCCTTGGTAAAGGTGTCAATCTTCTTCTTCTCCCTCCAGCTATGGGTAAATAGCAGGACAGACTGGGTTCTATAGCCTTGGATAGCAACTGGTCTAGGAGAAGGACAACACGTAGTACAAAAGGTCTTTGTATTCGGCCCTTCAAAAAGTGTCGATGGTCCTACACAAAACCTTCACCACTATAATCAAATCTCATGTGCTGTTGGGCTGTACGTTTCCTAGTAACTGATCTGTTTGACCCTCATACGTCGAATTAGACGGGAGAGTATATATATATATATATATATATATATATATATATATATATATATGGTGGATCAAAATCTTAATTAGCTTAAATTTATCATATACATTTGTGACTAGTCTGTCTTCAACGTTTAACATGTGTTCCGTTCAACATTGGCATGACATTCATATCGTGAAAAGGCAGATATGATTTCTACATAGGGACAGTCAAATGGTAATGGACGCGAGGCTGCATGGCTGTACACATTGCGTTTCCCGACCGTAGGCAGCCGTGTCATAGAAACTGCTGCTTTTTATCATCGCGGTGCTCAGACAGTATCCGTGATACCACAAACTATGAATAGGAAAAGACCGAGATGCTCTCGTACGCGAGATCCCGATAAACACATTCTACAGACAGTCTTTATCCTTGTTTTGGTGTAAGGAACGTGCCGCCAAATTTTGTAAAAGTACTTTCGATACATATATATATATATATATATATATATATATATATATATATATATATTAGGCACGGTGAAGTAGTGGATAACGACTCTGATTGAGACATCGGAGAAATTTGGAAAGGTATTAATTTTCGTCTTAAATAGCAGGACAGACAGGGTTCTATAGCCCTGAATGACAAATGCTCTAAGAGAAGGCCAAATCTGAATTCAAAACCTCCGCAGGGTCGTTTTGGGGACATTGTGATACATATATATATATATATATATATATATATATATATATATATATATATATATATATATATATATAGAGAGAGAGAGAGAGAGAAGAGAATGATAGACAGACTTTTCATAAAAATTTGGTTTTAAGTTATGCTATATATATTAGTGAATTTGCTCAGTATTAAAGATAGAGCGTATGTAAACGTGAAATTTGGCACAGAAGTCAAAACCAACAGTATGTTTCATGCGTGAAAATAATCTTCAGGCCAAGTGTGCTGTGCTTTAACCTGACTATTTATGTATGCTGGTCAGTGGTGTCTTATGCATAATAAGGTATATTGCATTATCCTGGCGGTTATTGGGTCGATGATAACGGTTATGTTATTTGTAGCCATTGTATAGTGTTGTTAACTTCTGAATCGCTAATTATTATTGGTTACTTAATTATTTGTTGTTGATTATTATTAACTTAACTTGTGACTATGCATTCGTAGCTTCTAAATTTGTTTATTATTTTCTTTATTTATTTATTTATTCAGATTTTTATTTATTTATTTGTTTTCACGGGGTTCGTCTTCATTTAGTTGAATTTAAGGTATCTGTTATATTATAAACATTGTGTTGTATATGATGCATATATTTACTTTTTTCATGGTAGTATTTAATAAAGCATTTGTTTTTAATTTTTGACTTTTAAGAGATATTGTAAATGTTTTCAGTTCTGCATTTTGATCGTGTATTTAGTAATTTGTGTTGGTCTAGGGAAGCCATCATAGCCATTTCCTCCAAAATACAGAGTTTATAGTTTTTAGATTATAGTTTTAAGCCGATATTGTTTTACTTATCTGCCATGTCGTTAAGTTACTCTCTACGACGTAAGTAAAAGATTATCTTCGCCTTCGTAGTATTTGGAATTAATGACAAGATCGTGGATATTTTTTTTTGTTTTCTCGCGTATATTTTTTGAATACTAGCAAATAATATACGTCTATTTATACAATTCAACTTTTGTCTATATTTCTGAGCTGCGGTATTATAACTATTTACACGATTTATATTGTGAATATTTTCTTTATGGTAGTATTAAATTTCGAAATGAAAAACGATCCCCCTAGACATTTCTTTTGATTTGTTACCCTTTTGTTGATGAATTAATATTCTATATTTTCACATATTACACCCAAACATTAATCGTTTAGTCTTTGTTTTCCAGCTTTGATAATGAGTGGTGCAAAAATTGAATTTACAGACACATTACGCTAATTTACGGTGAAAAAGGACTGAGAGCAATGGCAGCCGCAAAATAAATAATGTGGAAGACTAAGGGACTGTCAACAAACGTTTGGTGCAAATCTGGTTCAGATTTTTCAAAGAAGGATACAGCGGCCTCGAAGACAAACTACGGTCAAGAAAACCTGTCATTGAAGATGGTGCCTTGCTTGAAATGTTTGAACAACCACCAAGTAGAAGCCTGTGTATATTATCATCAGAATTTAGTCCTTCTCAAACCACCACAAATCGATACCTCTCTAAGCTCGGTCTTGCGAGTCCACGCTGTTGAGAAGTTACTGATGAAATGGCCAGCGTCCTATCTTAAAGATCTGTGAATATTTTCAAGCAACTTCTCAAAGTGGCCGTTTTTGGCCCCGAATTGTAACTGCGGATGAATATGGATCTATAGTTGTATTTGCAGTATTTATATTTGAAAAGAGAATTCAGTGTCTTCCTCCCGGCTAGATTACATAAGTTGTCGTCAAAGAAGGGTGATTTGCAGAGGTCATGTTTTGTGTTTGGGGAAATTTCGCTGGGGTGCTGAATTTTTAACCTTGCCACAAACGGTCCGGCTGTGTTCGAGGACCTTTATGCTAAACAACTGCAGCGAGTATATGATGCTTTTAAAGCCCGCTACGAGGCACTGCTTAATCGAAGACTCACCCTGCCACAGCATGACAGCACGCCAGCACACACATCCGATGTGACCATACGCAAACCTGAGGAACTTGAGAGGATGGAAGGGCTGGCTCAACCTGTCCACACATAAGGACTTGGACCATCAGATAACCAACTTATCCAGGGCTTATTTGTTGAGCGACGGATTTCCAACAATGGGGATGAGGTTGAAGATGGATGCAGGCAGTGTTTCTGAACTCAAAACAAGTCAAAATTTTAAGCTAAGAATTGAGATCCCTGCACAACGATGCCAACGGGCAATATATTTAAAGGAATAAACGCTTTTCGTATGCAATTTGTTTGAGTTATTAATTTAACCATGAAAAACAAAAACAAAAAAAGGTTTTGGTGCAACCTAGTATATATTACCCGTTTACTTGTCGAAAATGACTGCAATTTGTCTGTGTATCCGTCGTCATGAACAGACATAAAATAAATTTTAACTAATGAGAACATTGTAAACATTGAAACAAAATATTTTAGCAGAATCGTTGCAAAGATACCAAATTCATAAATCGATTGTAACACAAAAGAAACAACCCATATTCAATATATTTCTACACAGCGGCTATTCTAATGAATTTGTATAAAATATTTAATATTCATAAGTTATATTTAAATTGTAAAAAAATTGAGCAGGTGTATTGTCTCTTCTGTTTAACCGTAAAAATGTAAGGTGAGTGATTCTAATTCATATTCCAGCAATCTATGAAACGCGAGTAGCTAGTCATGAAACACTTACCAAACATGCTGACAACACCTGGTTCTTGATAATGACTGAGATAGTCAAAGCTAGTTGAAAAGAAAAACAAAAAAACATGAGCTTTAAACAGTGTATTTACAAATTCGACCCCAATATACATCTAATTCGAAAATGAGATATTTTAGGTTGAATTTACCAAAACATTATTGATGGAATATATATATCTATCTATCTATCTATCTATCTATCTATCTGTCTATCTATTATTAACTGATATTATATTATTAAATTCAAATATCTATCTATCTATCTATTATTTTTCATATATATTATTCAATTATCTATCTATCTATCTATCTATCTATCTATCTATCTATCCGTGTGTGTGTGAGCAAATGTCTGCATATAATTTTGAATTTTCGCTTTTCTTATCACTAATATGAATTTTTTAATCATTTCACCCCAAGTAAGGCAATAAAGCCTCTACCACGCAAGGGTTTACAGGGAGTTACAAAATATGAAAAAAAACAACACCATTAAGGAAAGAGAACAATAAAAGAACAGGTATTAAGAAGGCAGACGATAACGATTAATATTACATAGAAATTTTTGAAGATTAAACTTTTTCATTTAAACTTAACTTTTTTAAAAAGCCAGAAGTGAGAAGCGTAATA